AAAAATTAAGATATTAATATTCGTTTTCCATTGGGTTTTTTTTTTTTTAAATCTATTTTTTGGTAAGTTTGTTTCAAATCCAATTTTATTAGAACTTTTGAAATTATATATGCATTGATTTAAAGTTTTCTTAAAATTTATTGGTTCGAATTCGGTTTTCAATTTTTGTAAAGGAACATTGGTTAACAGAAATTTAAACCGTTTATTGGCTTGGTATATTCGATTTAAACAAAATAAAAATAATTTAAATGGAAAGAAACTCCATAAGAAATTAAGAATCCGAACTTAAAAAAAAAAATTTGTTTCTAGAAATCAGTTTTGTTTTTGGGGAAGGTTTAGAATTTAATTAAATGTAGAACTTAGAAGAGAGYYAAAAAAAAAGAGTTTGACTTTATTTATCTCTGCCAATAGGCAGATTTAGAATTGTAATTGGTTTGCAAAACGTTATTGGAGTATTTGGTAAAAGACAACTCGTTCAACAAACGGCAATGCCTTAAATATTCGTTGGAAACTTGGAATCAAAAGTCTAATTTGGAGTTTCTTTTAACGAAACTAATTTGTTCAACGTTTTACAGACATTGTTAATTATATTTTGACTCAGTGAAACTTAGCAATGTAACTATTATAAATTAAAATTTATGGACAAAAATTTGGACTAATTTCCGGTGCACACTTATTTATAGACAAACCAATTGTCTACATACCAAATTGTAGAGTAATTAATTTTCAACTAAGCAAAACCAATCATCCATAAAATATGTGGGTATCTACCAAATAAAACGTCGTTTAAAAATTTGAGTTTGACAATACTAAACCAGAAGAGCTTATTCACCAAACATTATAAATTTTAAATTTCAAAACAAGCAAAAGACAACCAAACACGACTACTAATATTTTACTTTTGCATAATAAAAAACATAACATATATTTATACATAGTGAATTTGAAGGGGAACTATGTAGAATTTTTTTTTTTTGAAAAAAAAACTACGTAGAGTTATTAATGTAAATGAAACAACCAACATTAGAT